GTATACTCTTCCACCTTTTATCAAATGATACCACTTCATCAAAATACCCACTATTTTTTGCTGAACCTCCTTCGTTACTTGCTTCCATTTACTCCTTCACTCTCCGCTCCCAGCATTTGCAAACAAGCCAGATGTGGGGTTGGTTTTCCATTGAAAAGGGCACCTGCATTGCAAACCTGTCATTCTGCAGAATGGCTGCATAGAAGAAACTGGCTCAGATGCAATAAACTTGCAGCAAACGCGTGAGCAGTCTCAGCCTAAAGCCAGACAGCTTGCGAGCCTTCCTCAGCACTGTTTATGGTCCTGCAGGCTTTTTAAGTTTGCTTGGTCAGTGATTTTCCTGAATAGGAAGCTGACTTTGCCACCTTTCTCCCCAAGGTTCAATTAAGACAGTGCTACGTGGTCATTGCCTGAGGTCTCTGCCTTAGCACTTCTCGACATTTAAGATACAGGGATTAAGCTGTCACTCTTACTGAATGTAATTCTTAATGGAAGTGTTTCTATTTGTGCTCTCTGCTGACGGTGAGTTGATAGCCTTCCCCTGCCACGTCTCCAAGTTGTTATAAATCAAGCAGAAGAAATACCCACAGCTTTGGTGGAGTTGAGATCAGATTCCCAAGAGTTCAGCACTGTTCCCCTCCCTTAGAAGGAAACACGATGTAGATCACACTTTGTATGTTTTATGCATTGTAGTTCCCAAGAGAAGATTCTCAGATAGGCAAGCTTGCAAAATTTAGCAGCCGTGCACTCACTGTTCAGTAGTCATTACCTCTTCACTAAAGCTGTTCTTCATGGTGTTGATCAAGAACTCTACTGCTTCTCGGCCTTTGCCTTTCCTTCCACAGCCAAAAATCTCTTCTGTCAGTGTGAGAATTGGCACTCCTTTCCCTGCCCTTTCTTTGCAAGAAGGCTGTGCAACAACCATAATATTCTGGTAAAGCAATAGCAAGTGGGGCATGGCTGCCCCACAGCCCAAACCTGAACCTTCCAAAGCACTGTCTAATGTACGGCAGGGCACGTTTGATAAGCACTTCACTTATCAACCAGGTTCCTCCTGTGGTTCAGGACCACTCTGGTTGTGTTTTTAGCAATTACAGTGTATTCAGCTTCATTCCACTGAACTGCAGGCCCTTCCATTTCGTTAGCCTCCAATAAAAGCATTAGTTAGCTCAGCAGTAGCAGACAGCTTCCCTTCTAATTCAATTTCCAAAGTTTTCATGGTCAGGTAGTCTTGGATTACACCTGCAAGCATGGACTTTGTTTAGCATGAAATTATACTGATTTTTTGCCCTGGTTTGTTTTGTGCATCCTGCCTTCACATATAGGAAATGTTAAACTTTGCATTAATTCCTGATTCTTATAATGGTGCCAGACTAATGAGAGTCTTTGTCAAAATATACAGAGATGAGAGCTGTAGGTTCTGGAATGTATTTGTAAACCCTATGAAGCGTATGCTTTCAGCAACAAGATATCTTTCTTTAAATAGCAGTGTTCTTGATATGGTAAGAGTGTTTTTATTTCCCCCTCCTGCACTAAGAGTTTTTGCAGCTCTGACAAGCTGTATCATGGGCTGCCTTAATCTGTACGTAACTGGGAGTGAGAGGAGGATGTGAGAGAAAATCTGTCTGTGGCCACTGTTAGCATACAGTTGGACACTGACACCACTTCCCTTCCCTCTCCATTTGATTGATTGATTTTTTTTTTCTTAACTACTTAAGTCTTGACTTGTCAAGATTCTTAGCACACAACTGAGTTTGAAGCTAGTGAGTAGGAGCTGCAGATGTTCAATTACCAGAACCCATCCTTCAAATAAATGTTCTGTATTGGCTTAGTCGGGATAGATCCCAGTTTGTTTTCTAATGCACTGAGATGAGTGTTACAGCCCCAATCTGGCATTACAGACTGGGGCTCAGTAGTTAGATGGCTGGAATAATACGTTACGTCTCTTGACTGTGTGTTCAAACTGCTTTAAAATATTGATGTCAATAAAAATATTTAATAACATCAGTAATTTCTAGCCATTTGTCATGGATGATCAAAACTAACGGAGTCTGTCCAGATCCCTCTAGATTCAGTGGAAAAACACTACTTCTGGGTTAAATATGTATTGAGTTGATGCCAGAAATAACAGAGGTAAGGCGTCTTCTGTCATAATTCATAAGCTAAGGAAGGTAAGGCTAATTGATGCTATGGCCCACTGCAGGCATGTTTCTTCATTCTGTTTTTTAATTGATTCAATAAGCCTCTTACAACTATTTTTTTTTTTTAAAGAAAACAAACTGTTTGAGAAAACAGTACTTTGGCAAGTCAGCTGGGTGTTTCCTTCCAGGGTAGGCACAGGCTGAATAGGAATGTACCTTTTCGTGCCATATGTATTTTTAGTTCTAGGTCTGGCTTCTAACACATGCAGGAACCGCAGAGTAGAGTTGTTGCCTTTGCAAATAGATGATGCAGATTACTCAAACTGATAACGTTTGGAGGTTCCCAAATCTGAGCTTTAGGTATGTGTGGTTTTACTTTTACTAAAGCAATACTGGAAAAAGCTGGTAGCTTCAGGGATTTATTTTTTTTTTTTAACCATTTTTTAAATAATCACAGGTGGAAAACAAACTTTAAGAAATAAGGTTGAAAGTTCCTTGCTCAGAGCTTAGGAAATATCAGATTAAATAGTCTGAAAGGGTTTAATTAACCTTGTGTACGTGCCCAGTCTGCTGTTATGCCATCACATGCCATTTTCCTTCAGAACATCTTATTCATCCACTGTCCTTGCATGCCTGACTTGAATCATAGAATGGCCTGGTTTGAAAAGGAGCACACTGCTCATCCAGTTCCAACCCCCTGCTGTGTGCAGGTCGCCAACCAGCAGCCCAGGCTGCCCAGAGCCACATCCAGCCTGGCCTTGGATGCCTGCAGGGATGGGGCATCCACAGCCTCCTTGGGCAACCTGTTCCAGTGCCTCACCAACCTCTGGGTGAAAAACTTCCTCCTAATATCCAACCTAAACCTCCCCTGTCTCAGTTTGAAACCGTTCCCCCTTGTCCTCTTGCTATCCACCCTTGTAAGCAGCCATTGCCCCTCCCGTTTGTATGCTCCCTTCAAAGATGCTGTCATGGGAAGCTGGTCGATATTTTGTGTTCTGTTGGTGATTTCTAAATGCCTTCTGCCAGAAAGTGTTTACAATAGTAAAAACAAAGCGTGCTGTTGAAGTACTAAATCTAAGACTCATCATTTCCCAACATTATCCATGATCTGCCTTGGGTGACAAAATACATGTGAAAATATACATCACTGTCACCCTGTTGGCTGTCGCTCGGACAGAAATCTCTTGTGTTGACTCGAGTTAGATGGTCATTTTGAAAACAGAGGTAACAATAAAAGAGAAAGAGACTGAGAAAAGATCTCAGATGTGCAGCAGAGGCTCGCGGTGTTGCTGCTGATGAGGATGTGGACGTGTTGCTCAGTCCCTTTGGTTATTGCTGCTCCAGTTACTTCAAGAAAACCCTGCCAATGGGTCGCCAATGGTATTTTTTATTTTTATTTTTTTAAATCAGACTGTTCGTTTGATTTTCTTAATTACCATGGTACACAGCTCATAGTATTTTGCCTTCGTTTATGTAGATTGAAATCTCTTTTTCCCCATCTGGGACACTCGTATCAACTGTAATCCATTTGTGATTAAAACCCTTCAGGCTTTTTGCAGTGACTGGTGTACATGTATCAAACATGAAGCTTATGATGGCAGTGCTGTGCTTCAGCAGCAGCGGAGCGGCTGTAGATACAAGTTTACATCATTAAATAAGGTGTAGTGGGAATGAAAGAGAGTAATGCTCCCAGTGTTGTCTTGATCAGAGAGCTAGCTTTAGGGCATTCGGCTTCTTTCTGTTCAACATACACCGTGTGTGCTGGGGAAACATCGCAAAGCAACACGGGGGGGAGGGGATTAACTCAGTGATGAGAGATGTACTATCTACAGTGTTATCAAAACACGAGTGCACTTTGTTCTCCCACAGCCTCACAGCCTCTTATTTCCTGCTCCTGCCATGGGAAGGCTGCGTGGCGTGGCATGCACCATGCCAACCTGGCACAGCGAGAGCCTTATGCTTGGCTGGTGTGGCAAGCTCCTGGAGGAGCTCCATAGCCACAGCAGCTTTGTTGGTTGTGTTTGTCTGAGGGCTGAATTGTCTGATACCTCCTAAATAAATTGCCTCCTGTATATCCACAGCGATTGTAAAGGAGAAAGTGTGGCTCGTGGCTCTGAAGTGGGCCACCTATTTGTGAGCACTGGTAGCGTCACAGCTGAAGCTCTGCAGCAGGATGTTCACCTATTTGTTTCAGGGGGGGAAAAAAAAAAAAAAAAAAAAAAACCTCAAACCAGAACAATGCAAAGGGAAAGCACCAGCAAGAGAACAGTATGTTCTTTGTAATGCTTTTTCTTTGGGGACATCTATTGCTGGCAATAAGATTAAATCACTGAAACCTTCCCTGAAGCTACATCTGCCACTGCCTACATTTTCCAACCTCAGTAATAAACTAACATTTGCCATTGTTCGTTTCTTCTGGATTTCATTTCTTACAGATTTAACCAGCGCTATTTACCACAAGGCATTCAGCTCTTGCTTAAAGCGGAGACCTATGCCAAGTCCCTAAAAACATTCAGTGCTCCAAAGAATCTGGTTTTAAATTATATCATAAAAAGTAGACGATATTAATACACCAGTTCACACCGAGTTCACGTATTGCTCGATGCCAATGTATAAAACTGATAGGAGCCACAGAAGCCTAAAAAGCTCTAGCCGAGACCAGCCTGCAGTGGTGAACAAAACCCTTTGTGCCTTTTTATTAGCTGTCTGTACATTCTGAGCGTGGTGGTATTTTTCTTACTGGGGACGATGGCAGCTATCTCTGTATGTTGGTAGCACTCTTTCTCCCGGCGTGGCGTGTGTGGGGTTGTGGCACACGGGGTGTTGTGGGGATTGCTCAGCAGCCCTTTGTCCCCACAGGATGCCATCGTGATCCATGAAGTTTATGAAGAAGGGGCGGCAGCTAGGGATGGCAGGCTGTGGGCCGGAGACCAGATCCTTGAGGTAAGCATGTCCGTGTGTACGTGTGTCTGTCTCATGTAGATTTGCACTCGGTTTTGCATAGCTTTCTCATGGGGAAAACAAGTATTGTTTGTAGGACCGGTGCACAAAGCTCTTCTTCCATCGCTGAGAACACCCTGATGCATTCGTATTTCCTTATATATGCTTATAAACTGGAGGTACCAGCTGAGAATACGTTAGATGGAATTGAACAAGGTGGCTCTCAAAGAACGCGGATCAGCTGCCGCGTCCGATTGCTTGGCACTACTCAGCCTTCTGCCACCACACCAAGGCCTGGCTGCAGCTCCTACGCAGGCAGCACGATGCTGAGCACAGCTCTGCCTTCAGCCAGCAGGCTGAGCTGGGAAGGGGTTAAGAACGAGGGGCTGCTCTGCACACGAAGCTTGCGTCAGGCAGCGGTCGGCGCAGCTGCTTGCAGCGTCTCGCTGTCAGCTCAGGACAAATTCCCAGCATGGCCATTAAGGCGTTGGTGCGTAGGGTTAGAAAAATAGTGAGGGGTACTTGGGGAGCTGTCTTTACAGCTCTTGCACTGCAAATATTTTTTTTAGCGTTTGGGCTGAATGTTGTTTTCATTTTATAAATAACTGCACATTAGCAGAGCACGATAATTAGGCAGGGGATAAAAATGGGGAAGGTTAATTAATTCTTCACTGGCCAAACAGGAAAGTGCTAATGTTTGTGCGCCATAATATTGTTATTATTTCAGCTTTTAAAAGCTGTACTAATGAAGCAGAAGGATGACTGAATTAGTTTCAGATTAGTGTGTAAAGCACACATAGATGCCTGTGTCAAGAAAACAATACTTAATGTGTACAGTTAGTACAAAAGAATATAATGAGGACAGACTTGGTTTAATTAAGTTAAAATTAAGTTAATGGTTATAGCTTAGCATACTTAGAGGTACAGAGAAATATTTTCCTTGACTTAAAATCTATTATGTTGTGTAAATGTATTGAGACTGCACTGTTAAAACAGCTGCAGCCCATGCTAATTCCTGCAACATCCAAACGTTGTTAGGTGTTGTACTGAGATGTGGTTTAGTGGGGACTATTGCTGGTGGGTGGATGGTTGGACTGGACAATCTTGGAGCTCCATTCCAACCTTGGGGATGCTATGATTCTGTGGTTCCTAACCAGTCTTGGAAAATGAAATGGAATTTTTTTTTTTTGTATTGACAGAGAAAAGCTGGTTTTGTCAACAGGAAAAACAAACACTTTAAAGAGTATCCTAGTATGAGGCTTGGCAAAGTTAGGAGATTAGATTTCAAGTTGCAATAGTTTTTTTTTCTGGTTCTTTAGCATTCAGTCAGAACTTCTTGTGGATATAATAATACTAAAACATTGTAAGAGAACTGTAATCTAGTGCTCCAAGAGTGGTCTTGTGTGCCATCTATTGGAACAAAGCAAAATAACCATTCAGTGTGTCCTGCCTGGGCTTCACCATGACCATTGCTAATGACACTGGTTCCTTGTGCCCTTAAGCTGTATGGTGTCACCCAGCCTGGGGGGAGGAACTTCAGCTGGCTGGAAGGGAAGGAAGGCTGCAGAACTACAGGAAGACTGAAGGGAATCATCTGGTTGTAAAGTTGTAAGCACTGGTTGAGGCTCCAGCACTTAGAAAGCAGGATGGAACCCCCGCAAAGCTTAGGATCCAAAATATTTTGATTGTTTGGATTTAATCTAGACAGCGGCACAGTGCGCACCATCTCTTTCAGTAGGAAATCAGAGCGCTTAATTAGAGTGCCAACAGGTGTCGGTTTGACAAATTCTGCCTGTCACACAAGGGTAGGATGTGATGAAAGGATCGTTCATATGTGTCGTTTGGAAAGAAAGCTCTGATTGTTTCAGGTGAACGGGATCGATCTGCGGAACGCCAACCACGAAGAAGCCATCACTGCGCTGAGACAGACGCCTCAGAAGGTGCAGTTGGTTGTGTACAGAGATGAAGCTCATTACAAAGATGAAGAGAACTTAGAGATTTTCCATGTAGATATTCAGAAGAAAACAGGCCGAGGACTGGGGCTCAGCATAGCTGGAAAACGGTAAGAGCGTCTCTAATCAGAATGCACTGCAAACAAGAAGTACCTTGCTTTTTGCCATTTGAACAGCTGTAGCCATTAAATGGAATATGAAATAAAGGAAGAAGTCCTCAAGCAAAAAGATTTCACATCTGAGTACCTTCAGGGATGTTGTGGGGTTGTGATACTGGCTCCTCCATTACAGCCAAAGCAGAGCTATGCAACAAAGGCTGCTGTTCCCTCTGGAAGACTCCCAGTTTGCAGCATCGTGTCCCACTTTGTGAATGAGTGAGGTTCAGTGAACATGTGCAGAACTGGTAACTTAATGTTCTGATGGCTTAAACATAGCTGTGGCTGAGCCTGAGAGCCCTAACCATGGCAGTTCTGATTTCAGCATAGGGAAAAAAGCCTTCTTTCCAAATACTGGGATATGCATTTGAAAATGAATTCATTAGTTAGATCTATATCATACTCTGTTTCAAAGTGAACAGTTTTGGTGGAAGACAGGAGCCTGGTAAAGAGAAAGACCTCCATCCCTGTCAGCTATGTGGGTGACTATACAGCACTAGAGACAGTGGTGCTGTGAATAAAGAGCAGAATCCGAGACACTGTGGAGGGTAACAGCTGCTTAATAAAATGTGACTTTGTGCTGATGTATTTCTAAACCATTGCTATTAGATCATTCGAGCTAGAGCACTGATAGATTTAATCTTTCATTGCTAGAAGAGATTTACAGCATGACACAGGCAAGCACTCATTCAGTGCTGGTGTGTGCGAATCATATGGTTCCTCTTCTGTACTGCCAAAAAAAAAATTGTATTTTCTCAAATCATCATCGTGTTATTATGCTGACTGCGAATGGTCGGTAAAGTTTCTGCAGCAGTTTGGGGTTTTTGGTTTTTTTGTTTGCTTTTTTTTTTTTTTTCCAAGACTGGTGATGCTTAACCCAGGTGTTGTGAGCAGATTGTGGGTTGGGTAATTAATTTAGCTTATGTAAATTACCCTACAGATGGTAATCGCAATCTCCGGCCCTCCCTTGATTGCTTCTGCACAAAACTTTCAGTGCTGTTGCTAACAAGTGCTTGGCATGTAGGGGTTTCCACCTTAGAGGTAACCTAATTTCCTTAGTCCATCCAGCAAGAGCCAGCTATCAGCCAGCAAAACATTGTGTCCTGCTGCACGCAGGATGCCAAAGCCAGTCCCATGCCTTGCAGCCTGCACCAGCTCATCCACAGCAAACCCTGGTAGCTGGGGCTGGGCACAGAGGGGTCCTGCAGTGTGGGGAAGGGAGTCGTGATGTGGGGCTGCAGGTCGTAAATCTGCTCTGCCCCCCAGCCGCGCTCACAAGCCTCGCTGCAGGCAGACAGCCGCAGGGTTGGATTTTGTGCTGCATAACTTGTGTGCAAACTATAAAAGTCTTTTCTGCAGGCTTCTCTGTTTGGGGCCTCCAAGCTTTTAGAGAAGAAACCAAGCTGAACCTTTAGGGAGAATGTAAAAATATATACATTTCTAAGGCTGCATAACTCGGATCAGGCACATCAGGGGACGGTTTAACTCCATCTTAGGCTGATCCTTGGTTTTTTTATTTGTACAAGTGGTATTTTTCATGAATCTTTATGGATCGGACAGTCAGAACTAACAGATCAAGGGGAAAGACAGCATTAAATGTAGCAAAACATGCATTGATTTTAAAGCTCATAGATTTTCTTACACTCAAATGGTTGAATGGGGTGTAAAAGTCATTCTTCCTCTGCTCACAGGTTTCTTTTTATGTGTCTTATATGCAAGTAATCTAAATTGTTCTCCCAAAGAATATTGGATTGTGTAATTAGCCATATGCTTCTTGCATTGTTAGAAATGGAAGTGGAGTGTTTATCTCTGACATTGTTAAAGGAGGAGCTGCAGACCTAGATGGAAGATTAATTCAAGGAGATCAGATTTTGTCTGTTAATGGAGAGGATATGAGAAATGCCTCACAGGAGACTGTTGCCACTATACTTAAGGTGAGTACATAATACATTTTAAGAGATGGAATTGCAGTTACTGACGCCGTGCAAGGTAATTATCCTGAAGTGCTGTTTACACATACCCAGGACAGCTCAGACTGATTACAAAGACAGGAATTTCATCTGAAATTACTATGCAAGGTCCATTCAGCATCACTTCTTCTGGTATATTTAGAAATGAAATGATATGAAATGAGAAAACAAAGAGGCGTAGCTTTTAGGGATTGATTTGAAAATGCAACTGTGAACTTCATATGCTAGAAAAATATTTTGAAACCTGAGAGGTGTACAAATCAGAGCTGCCCTGAAATAAAATGCTTCGCTGTACTAACTTGTGACTATAAAACTGCAGTTTAAATCCACCATAGCTTCTTTACAGGGGTGGGGTGGTTTTATACTTTGTATGGCCTGGGAGAATTTTCTTTTCTCTATTAGAAAGTATGTGGCTGCTCGATGGGCTTGACTGGGAGGAGAGGGCACAGGATTCCCTGACCATGGGCACCTGTTGGCAGCTCCTCCATCAGGCTCCTAGGGCTGTAAGCGTGTATCAAGGGTGAGACCAAGGGTGGGAGCAAGTAAAAACATTCATACTGACTTCAGCATTGAGGATAAACTGCAGTCTGGGGACAAGTACTTCTGATATACTCCAACGGAAAATGTGAATATTTCAAGCGTTCAGTACATTGTGGTTTTCTTCAAGGGTCTGTGATGCTGAATATGAACATAATTCTCTCCAGGAGAGCGTGAAATATCCTGTGTCGATTTAAATGCTGTACGTTGTGGTTCTTTTTCCCAAGTGTGCCCAAGGCCTCGTGCATCTCGAGCTGGGGAGACTGCGAGCTGGATCGTGGCTGTCATCACGGAAAACATCCCAAAACAGTCAGGTTAGTTACAAATTCATACAAATTCATACGTATAAAGTGAAGCTGTGAAGGGCAAGGAAGGGGAACGGTGTGCAAGGGGTGTCCATGAGACTCTATTCTTCCATTCACTGCTGAGGGTGTGGAACAAAACATTTTATCACTCAGCTGAAAAGAAAGTGTCATGCTGTAATGCTGAGTAAGTGGAATAATCAGTTAATGATTCTTTTGTTTGTTAGAGGAGGGTTTTTTCTGAGACGACGTACCAAAAATTTGTAATATTTTCCTCAAACAACGATGCCCAGAAATTTTTTAGACTTGCAGAAAATGCTGAATGCCTTTTCTGCAGCTGTTTTGTCAATCAAAATGAGTTAATGAAACTGAACTGTATCTTTGCCTATCTTGTGGCAGAACCACATGAGAGCTGCTTTGCTCTCAAAGAAAACACAGAGCAATTTCCTGCTTCACTTGCTTTTTACCTGAAGCGAGGACAACAATTCATTTTTCAATCAGTGCAGGGCTTTCCCCCTCTCCTCACTTCCCCTAATCCGCTCAGACATTGATACTATTAGTATTAAAGTCTACAGCGAGGGAAAGATGACTTGGAAAACTTTTTAAAATGGATTCTCCTGCTGAAGACCAGCTGCTTTGCCACCATATTGTAGTTGGGAACATCCCAAAGACAGACAAGCCGTGGCTCACAGCGGTGTAATTCTGTGGGGTATTTTGCCCCCTGTCTCTATGGGGGGCCATTCCTGGTGGCCTCCTTCTGCTCAGCACACTGCTGGGATCAAGCCCAGCCTCCACAAATGCTAAAAGAATGGCCTGGAAGCAGCAAGAAGAAGCAGTAGGAGGCTTAGGGATGTAAGTTAAAGCAGGAATGACTTCAAGGAAAAAATAATCCTAGTGATTAAGTCGGTAGGAGTGGAGCCCTTCCTTGTTTTCATCCATGAACAACCCAAAAATGTTCCAGATTCTGGTCATGTGGCATGATTTCTTCACTTTATAAAAGCCAGCAGTGATCCAGTCTGCTGTCTGTGTGGGTATCAGGAAGGGCTGAGGAGCTCACAGCCATGTGTGCTAAGCCCAGCTTTAAAACTGTGCCTAAATACCACTAGAGAACATCAGCACTGCGTGCAGCAGGCAAGGAAAGATGGAACAACAAAAGGAAATGAGAGTGACTCCATTAAGTAAAGGCAAGAGTCATGGTTATTACTTGGTTTAGTTGTTGTAGAAACAGCAAGGTGATGGTTAAAGTTACTACATGTTGCTATGTAACGCTCAGAGCTGAAGCAGTGCTGTCCCATTTCTTTTGTACCACACCAGGCTTTCTCAAGAACCTGTTAATTTCTGTATTTCTTCATCTTAAGAGAAGTCTTGATTGCTGTTCTTCATGCAGAGTCGTTCGAGGGCCTCCATCTCAGCGTTCCAAAGTGACTGGGGATTTGGAAAACTGAGTGGATGTTTCTCAGCAAAACAGTTCCAAGAGTTATAAAACTCCTGGCAGATAATATGGCGAATCAGCATGAATGATTTGCACAACTGTGAGCAATGCTTCAGAGCCCTCTGGGCAAGAGCATCCCGAACTTTTGTCCTCACTTGGCTTTTTTTCTGGTCTGTTGCATACCTTCAACAGCAGAAACATAAGGCTCGCGGTGCAGGACAGTGATTTCTTTCACGTGCTTTGCAAATTGTGTTAACTGACCCATGAATCGGGAACGAGACGTGGAAATTGTGCTCTGCCTGTTGTTTGTCACTGACAGCTGCACGCTGGTCAGTTGGGATGAATGCTGCCAGGGCTTTTGATTCGCCGCCTAATGCATTTAAAGGGAGAGCTCGGGTCTTTGTTTGGTGTCTGGCCTTGGTGAAATCTGTTGTTCAGACGCATTTCCTAAATTGATAATGATGTTTCCTCTGAAGGGCAGTCTGAAGATAAGGCCAGATAAGGAAAAATCGTGCTGGAAATGAATGGCACAGAACTAAGAACGCACACAAGCAGCTGCCCACCAGGTTGTGCCTCCTGTTACCTGTAAGACATGGGCATCTTGTCCTGCACCTGGGCTGCTTTTCTGGAAGTATCTCTGTCAAGTGAAAGGAGCAGGGCTAGTTCCAGGGCCTTCTGATCACACAAAATGTTCAGCTACACTAGGAAAGCCTGTAGATGACTGCATGGGAATTATCCCTACTGTCTGAGAGGAGCTGTCATGTCTCCTACTGGGTGCCTCGCATACACTCAGCTAATAATGAAGCGTCTGTGGGTCTGTCATGACAAAGATGCCCACAGCATTCATCCTCAAGCTTGGAGGCCAGCTGGCAATAAGCAATGGAGGAGGTTCATCCTGTTCCTTCATGGCCTCTGCAGAAATCCGCAGAACGGTTGAGATTGGAAGAGACCTCTGCAGGTCATCTGGTCCAACCCAGAAAGCCTCCCAAAACCAGACCCAAACAATGCCCGGATCAGGTGTATATGCTGAAGTGAAGTCCAGTCTTGTAGTACTGTGAGCAGCTCTGCACGCATGCCTACAACACAGGGGCAGATTTGGTAGATTCCATCTCTGGAAATGAAGTTGGGGGCTTTCACTCGTGTGGCCAATGCGGTATTTCCAGTCTGGTTGCACAGAACACAGCTGCAGCCATATGTTGCAGGAGCTGACTGGTAACGTTTGGTTTTGACTCTCAATTTCTGATTTATGTTCAACTTCAGGTGAACCAACAGAGTGCCCACAGCCACTTCCACCCCACGCTTGCTCCGGTCCTCTCTACCTTGCAGAACTTTGTCAGCACAAAAAGATCTTCAGCAGATGTTTCTCAAAGAAACTCAGGTATGATCTGGACAGATTCGTTGCTTGCTGCTTGCAGTGCACCTTTATTTTTGTGCTGGTTTAATAACAACATTAAATACTTGAGACTGATTTTCCTGCGCAACCTCCCCAAAGGCGTACCACTGATGTTTTAAGACCTGTAACACTTTCCAGCACATGACATTATTTTTACGTCTAGTAGAAGAGTAATGGCTCCTCTATGTTAAATGCAGAATTCCTGCGCCCTGCTATTCCCCGGCGCCCTTGTTGGAGGCTTAGCACAGGCAAGGTTCTTGTATTAGAACAAGTTTTCTCGGGGAATAAAGCTGCCACCACTTCATTTAGATCTGTGTTGCTCTTGAGTGTATAAAAGGGTGTTTTGTAATGAGAAAGTCACAATGACCAGATTGCAATTCACACATTTAGTGAGTGCTGAATCTGCAACCTGCAGTAACTTGATGAGGAACTGTGCATTTGTGTGCTCTGACCCACGCCAGAGACCCATAACAACCCGTGCTTGTGCCTGACCATTGGCAGAAGATGTTTCTTCTGGCCATTCACATGCACTTGAGGAGGTGCGTGTGGCTTTTGGGGCAGCCACCCTTACACATTTTGGAAGGGCCCATGCGAGCATGCCCTGATGCAGCATTCCTGGGGCTGGGCTTCCTGCAGTGCCAGACCCTGTGCTCTCATCCTGTGTGCTTGTATCAGCACAAGCAGTGTGTGCAGCAGTAGGAAGTGCTGCTGTATGTTAATGGGAATCGTTAACTTCTGAAAGAGGCTAATGCTGCCTGCCTTGTAAAAGGTTCCTAAGGTAGTTTAATTAAAGCTGGTACAATTAGGGATTATTATAGCAGAGCCCAGGACTACACCATAAGCTTTTAGGCTATTTAGTCCCAGTTCAAATGATTCCTTTCAGTGGTTTTTTTTTTCTTTCTCTTTTCTTTTCTTTTTTTCTTTTTCCTGAATGTTTTGAGTACTTCTAAATGTCCTGTGGCTAGATGTATGCCAGCCAGACTTCCTGGCTGTCTATTATTTACTAATACAGCACAAATTAGAACAGGAAATCAATGGAACCTCCACAGTCTGCGTGTCCTACCCTTTGTGGTGGAGACACTGTGATTTATGAATAATAAGGCAATCTTTAATTGAGTGAAATGCACAATAGGGCTTTTCTTCGGGCCGGCAGAGTGGTGCTGTTCAATAGATTGCGGTGAGCGGCGGCTGTGCTACAAAGAGCATCACAGCAGCATCCGTCAGGCGCAGGGATTGCATCCGTATTCAGCTCTGAGTGAAACAGAAACCCCGTCCTCCTCACGTGAGCAGTGCTGCCTGATTTGGCACAGGAAGGCTCTGCTTCTGCTTGGTGATAACTCTGACTAGGCAGCAAGGGACCATTGTCACTTGACAGCGTTATCTCTTAATTATATTATCTCTTAATTACAGGAGCTAATTGTTTGTTTCTTTATTAGTAGGAGCAGATACGGGCCCAAGGACTGTGGAGATAACAAGGGTCAGTGAGTTATTTTCTATCAATTCAAAAAGCTGACACCTTAGACTGAAGTTGTTAATTTTTATAGTGTTCCTTAGAAGTAAAATTGCATTATTTGTGTTTGCGATAGGCTCTTGAATGCATGCCTGTGTGCGTGAGGGTGTGTGTGTGTATGTCAAACCTATCTGTTATTTGCACCGTGACGCATAAATCACATTGAACAGTTATTCCTGTACCCTAAACGTTGGCCTCTCCTAGTGGCTCCAATCACAAATGCTTTTTTGCTTTGTTTTAGGGACCAAATGATGCTCTTGGTATCAGCATAGCAGGAGGAAAGGGGAGTCCATTAGGAGATATTCCCATCTTCATTGCTATGATTCAGGCTAGTGGTGTGGCGGCACGGACCCAAAGGCTCAGGGTAAGTAGAAGTGTCCTCTTAGTGCCTTCTTTTCCATCTGCGTGTCTCTCTCAGAGAAGGAGCCTCAGGCACTTCTGTATATGCCATCACTTGGATAATATCTCATAGACTACCCTGTCTCTTTTTTAAAACAAACTAACAAGCCCTGCCCATGTCATCCCCTTTTGATTATATTGCAACTTAGGACAATTGCAGTGATTGCCTACGTGGAAGAAAAACGTTAAGGAAAAAAACACTTGTAAGTAGTCTTTGAGTATGATTGAGCAAAAAGAAATAAACTGGAAGATCTGTGGTGGGTGTTCATCCAACTCAGAGAAAACAGCAACAAGCTGTCTAGAAACCACAGGCATTCTGGAGACTGCAGGCTGGGCTCATTTAGAGCTCAAGCAAGGCAGAAACCAGACCAGAGGTTGCTTGTTTGATGCCAGGGACCTTATAAAGAATTGCAAAAATAAAATAGTTGCATCAGATTCATAGGACATGTGAATTTCTAGGAATGACCACAGTGATCGTTTATCAATTTGGGAGTTTCAGGAAATAAGCAATATTGAAAAGAGTTCATTATGCAGATGCACAGGAAAACTTTGGCCCATGAGATTCACTACGTAACCACTTCTGCATTCATGCTCTGTCTCTAATAGAAACACACAATAGCACTAAGTGTCAGGGTCAGGATCAGCTTTATGTATAGAGAGCAGAAGTAATGTTGGTTAATTAGGTTAATACCAGAAACGTCTGCTTTCATCTTGTGCTTACATAATCTATGAGAATATGAACTTGTCTGCACGTATCAACACAAATGAATCCTTTTTGGATGGGAGAAAAGCAGTCCATCGTACCCTCTCTGTTTGCAAATGGAAATAGTAAGATACAGCCCTCCTTTTTTTCTCTGATCACACTGTTATTAAAAAAAAAATCTGTATTATGCTACCTCTGACAAATGGTAAATGATCACTAGCAGCATAGAATTCTCACAGAAGCAATCCTGCAAAAGAGAAGCATGACTGTGCAGTGCCAAGTTCATCAGGAATTTTAAGCATTCTTAATTTTAATTTTCCTTAATGCTAGTAATTTTCCATTACTGTTGTACTTTTAGGTTGGAGATCGGATTGTCAGTCTTAATGGGCAACCTTTGGATGGGCTGTCTCATGCAGATGCTGTTAATCTACTAAAGAATGCTTATGGGAGCATTATCCTGCAGGTACAGTGATAAATGGAACGTGCAGCTGCATGAGGGTAGATAAATGGCATTTGGGGAAAAAAAAACCCTAAGCATCACTGGCACAAGGCATCACAGAATTGCAGGGTGCTTGCTGATGGGAATTACACAGAATGAAAGCAAGAAATAATTTTCATTCAAAAAATTCTTTATTGCCACTTGTACAGGCTGCGAGCACGATTATATGAAAGCATAACAAAGAGAACAAAATAACTTGTTGCTACACCTGATAAATCAACAAGCTTCCAAGTTTGTTTTTTTAATTTGAAGTTAGCTAAGAACAGGAAGCTGTGTCTGTTGTGTGTGTATGCATGCTACTGGACTGTGACCAAACTGTGCGCTGTTGATTTTCTTGTTCTTGAAAGGGAGAGAAGAAAGGATGCTAACAGCAATTAACAAAAGTGATAACATCATCATTAATGCAGTGCCATCTAAAATTGATTATCTACGATTCTATATGTATATTCTATAGATTGTCTACAGTAACACTTGAGAGAGACGAAGGGGTTTATCACTGCTGCACATATATGCTAGCTAAAAGGAACTCGTGTTCTGCCACTTGGGTTCTGATTGCTGCTTGCCAGCATGTTCATCTTGAGTTTATTTTTATGTTTACACAAAGAAATTGGAAAAATACATGCCAGAGAGAATACAGAATGCCACCCGTTTGCAAAATTATTGTAACAATTGGAAAACAAGCTTAAGAGTAGAATCTACTGTAATTTTCTTTATCATCACAGCATATTGGGTTTGAACACATCTTGAGAGATTTTCACAGGCTTCTTGCTTTCATTACAACGTAAATGTGGCTATAAAAAAATTAGAAAAATGTGAGAGGAAAAGAAAACAAAGAAAGAAAAATGGAATGATAATAAACTTAGACTGCTTATTCTTTGTCTGTCCATGAACTGCTGACCTGGTAAGTGATGAGCCAGTTCCAGAGCAGATGGCGTATTTGTGTAGTTCCATTGAAGTCAAAGGAACTACACAGATACACACCAGCTGAGGATTTTCTGTTAAATTATAGTTATCATATTGTTACTAACGTTGAGTAATTTCACTTTTCATGTCAACAGTATTCCCTGAATAGAAAATGAAAGCTTGCTGCGGAACCCAAAATTGCTAATCTTGAAAGCTGTAATACAGCGTATTCCACCTCATCATGTATTTAAAAATATTCCTGATGAAGCACGCTGTCAGTTGTTCGCTCGCATAAACAAAGAGGTTGTTCTGGAAATGTCTTGGCTTTTGTCAGCTGATGGTTTTTCTTCCACATTTTTGCCATCTAGCTCAAAATGTGTTGAATACTTTTACAGATGATACCGTTCTTTTCTCTGATAGAATGGGGTCTGTTTTCCTCTGCTAAAAATCAGTGATGGGAGGCTGTATTTTAACAGCAGCAGTAGAGCAGTGTTGCAGCCACGCTGTAAAGTAGGATGCTATGTTTGCAGCATGTGCCAACTGCAGGTACTTCTCAATTGCTGGACTGCTTTTTGATGAAAACAATCTAAATGGAATAATCCTATCAATGCGATAATCGTGACTGATGTGTCATTAAGTAATTCTGTTTATTATCAGGTTAGACCACTTCACGGCAAACTGCTTTGAAAGGTCAGATAATTGCATTCAGTGGTGTGGAAAGGCTTATTATGGGTACGTCCTGGGAAGGATGGTAAAGGAGTTTGCAAATGCTGTTTGCAAATGGGAGATTAGGGTCTCAGGGGAACAATCATCCCTTCCGGCTGTTTTGATGCTTTGGTTTAATTTAATTTCTTTTCGGCAGGTGTAGTAATGAGATAAGGGGAAGCTTTTTTTACAAGGTTGTTGAACTCTGATACGTTCTTACTGCCAACTGAAGATTTTTTGAATATAGATTTATTTTACCCTATTTTATTTAACAACAAAATACGACAAATGCTGGCTGGCACTCTTCCCCCTGCTGCGTCGGGAAGGAAAGCTTCAGTGCCTCTGCTGCCTGAGCCAGGTGCAGCTGTCTCCTCCATGGGACCCCATCACTGAACCTGAGACCTGGGATGCGAAATTTGCACGAGTGCTAAGCTTTATTCCTGGAAAATACTACCACCCTCTCTTGGCTCCAAGTGATTAGAAAGGGGGAAACAGTATTGGGGAAGAATTGTGAGCATTCATGTAGAACGGGGGATTTTTATAATGCATTTCTGTTGTTGTTGTTTAAGAAAAGTATGTTTACCTTAAGCTGTGATCCCAGCAAGGAGTGGGAAAAGCACTTGTTAATTTTGATAAAATAAGGCCACAGATAGCTAGAGGACGTACTGAAAAGGAACTTAGTGGGTATTTGTCACTGTCACTCAGCCAAGCTCCTGTACAACAGGCATCAAGCAGAGACGAGTATCGAGTATCTCATCAGATGGAGATGGAGTTATGGGATAACCACTGCAGGCAGTCCTTAGGAAATTATCCTTCTAGCTGTGGATACTTAAAATCCCAAACGCTTCTAATTGGTTTCCTCAAATGTTTTCCAGAAAAAAAAAAAAATCAAAGGATAGAAAAACAACTTACAATGAAAGGTTGAAAAAAAAAGATCTGGAGTGGGTCTTCTCCATTGGGCCTGCATTCTGCTATTTCCCCGTGGGGCTGAGCTCAATGAACAGCAAAACCCAGCCCTCAGTGCTCTCAGTACATCTGCAGCTGGCTTTGTATCCCCCTGCTCAGCACCTGAGTGCTGGTTCTGTAAACACAATAGAAAGCTCCAGAGCAAAGTCAGCGTTTGACCCCCAGACAGATGGGTTAGTTATTAGTCATTTTTAACACTATTACTTGAAAGTGTTGAAGGAAATATAAGACTGTAGGACTTGTTTGAAATTTGATATTAGCTGTTTTCCATCTAAGTGTTTTAGCATTAAGTCAGCATGCAGAGTACTTCATTGCTTTTTCCTGTTTAGGTCGTGGCTGATACCAACATCAGTGCCATTGCTACCCAACTGGAGAGCATGTCTGCAGGATGTAATGTCAACTCTTCTTCTGAGCATGCTTCTGAAGATCCTGAGTAAGTTTGTATTAGCATGTGTAACAGATATATTTCTGTGCCCCATGCAAGGGAAAAGCCTAGGGTGGTGAAGGAGGCCTCTTCCCATTCCTTTTCTCTCTAATTTACATTGCCTTTAAAATGGTAACTGTGACCTTCTCCAATCTGATCACAGATCTGTGTCCATATTTACCCAGTAACAGATACTGATTGTATAAATAAGGATAAAATATATTTCCAAACACTTGCCTTATCTTATCTTTCCTAACGTGTTATGCTGATATGATAGTTCTGCCCTTGTCTGTTGGCTTCCTCCTTGGTCATCAGCAGACAAAGAAAAGAGGTATTAAAAAAAAGACAAAACCTGGTAACAGACTAATCCTTCAAAACACGTCCAAGAACTTTCTTTGTTTTTTGAACCTTTTTACAATTCTAAAAAATCTCATTATTTTTTTTTCCTACCTGTAGCACCTCTGTATGGTGACAGAACTTAGAGACATAGCCCTCCCATGGCCATGCATCATTCTCCATCGTGTGCTTTTAAGGGCAGCTTACAGACTCCAGTTGTCATTTAGAAATTCACTTGACCTTCATTTGGTTCCTTAGCTCCATCTTGTCCTTCTTTTTCATTCTTTGACTTATTATAATTATTTTATGATGCTGAGATGCAAGTGGCTGCCCTGTCTCAGGGATGAGCATAGGGGTTGAGCTATTTATGCTGCATTCACTAGTCTTACAGTGTGAGATACTGTTTTTATTGCTGCCCTCAAAGGAGAATTACTTCTTTCACCAAAGGATATGAATTCTCCTTTCATATCAAAATAGTGATGAGATCTGAATTTGAAAATATGAAGTAGACTTAAATAGGCGTATGTGTCCAAGGGAAACTGCTAGATATGAGTCATCATGGGCCGTGTCTTAATTTGGTAGAAAGCCAAACAGCTTTAGTCCAGAATAATTCTCTCTACATATATAGAAATGCCTGCTTCAGACTTGAGGTGGATAAATAGAAATGAACGGTCGAGGTTCCACCAAAGCTCTTCCTCTGCTCAGTGCAGGCAGCTCTGAGTGAGGGGCTCTGGAATAGCTCTGGGGCTGCAAGGTGCAGGGATGTGGGTGGGGATGGAGGATGTTAGAAACAGCCCAAAGAGCTTACAGCAGAGCTGAGACTGTAAAGACAAGTGCTGCTGGCTGCACGCTGTCTGACAGACTCATTTCAGTGAAGTCACGAAATAAAATGACGCTGTGAGGAAGCTGTTGCAGTGACCACTTACTGGGACAAAGGATGGCAGCTTGGCCTGTAAGAGAGCAAACTCTCCTTTAAGCAACTGCAGATTAGAGGAATAGCACTCCTGCATCAGAGAGGAGTGCTCTTGCTGAGCTCTTTATAAATAAGTATTTTCAAAGGGAGGAGCTGAAGGATGTGGAACAGCTTGTGAGCTCTGGGCTGCTCAGGAGCGTGTTTCAGCAGCAGGACAGGAATCATGCTTACTGACTGCATGAGAAAATCTTGATAGATAAATCTCTCTGTAAGTGTTCCTTCTGCAGAAAGTCCCCACAGACAGACCGTGTTATTCTAAGTGATATTTATTGTGTTTTCAGAGCACCTCAGCCTAAGATTATTACTTTGGAGAAAGGCTCTGATGGACTGGGATTTAGTATTGTGGGGGGGTATGGAAGTCCCCATGGAGACCTGCCCATTTATGTCAAGACTATATTTGCCAAGGTATATTTGTGTTTTGTTTTTTTTCTCCCTTTTTCTTTATTATCTTAAAAAAAAATAAATGTAAGATTTGGCTTGGGTGGTATATGTGGAATCTAAAGGAAAATGAACTGCCTGGGTACGTGGATGTGAGCAGACCCAGAACACACAGCTGGCTTCTTGGTTTATATTTCACAGTACTGATGGCTGAAACAAGACACTTCACCTCAGCAAAACTGTTCTGTGTCCTTTGGAAACTTGTTTTTATACATATAAATATTTATAAGGCAGCTTTATATCTGCAAACCTCAGTGTCTTCCCAGAAGTACAGAGGCATCATTTTTCTCACTGTACACGACTGGAGACAGTTGCAGAGATACTATATTCTTGTGGCCAGGCTTCAGTTGCAAAGCCCTGTGCCCAGATGGTCACCTCAATGAGAAAAGCCACTGAAAGAAATACCACCCCATGTGGCTTGTTGATGAATTGGCTTCCACATCAGTCCTGGCTTTAGTTATCCTCCCTCGCTTCCAGCTCCGTGCTCCTGCTCTCCATGGGCACTGCCCTCCCCGTGCTGTTTGCTTGCTGTCCCAGCTGGTCCCTGGCCCTGAGCATCAGGGGAGGGCATGGGTCCCATGCTGAGGAACCAGCACAACACAGCACCGTGCAGCTGGGGCTGCTCTCTGCATGTGCCAGCAAGATCTTTTCATGGAGCCGTGACTGATACAGTTCTGAAAACGGGGGAGGGGGGAAACAGTGGGGATTAGGGAGACCTAACATAAAGCAAGTTGGAAATCAGTTGCAGAAAGTTGTTTGTTCTGTAGCTGTTTGCATTTCTGACAGGGTAGGTGATAGAAAATGAAAAAAGAATCACCTTGTCTTTAAACAGATGCTAAGATTTACAGATCTGTAGATGTGAGCACAGCTGAGAAACTCCCAAACTGAAGCTGGGATCCACTAGTGGGGCCAGGAGACAGAGGCAGTCATCATCATGAGCTGAACTCTGGGCAGGGCCTCTGGATATAGGGAAAAGAGCCACGTTCAGGAGCTCAGGAGGGGAACAGCCACTTCTAGAGCTCCATGGGTGATTCTCAGGGCCTTCAGTTAAACCTAATCCCAGAGCTGGGGGCTCTCTCTGAGCTCTGTCGCTCCCTTCCCACATTTTAACCTGTTTCTCAGTACCAAGTGCAGAGTCATGTACGTATTGCTTTAACAGGTCTCTGTGTGATCAGAAAACACAGAACCAGTCATTACTCTGCCTTGTTCCCAGGGAACGAGCTGATTCTCCTTTTCCTGGAGATGTGTTCCCTGCCCGTGTTGCCCCAGACCTGCAAGGCTGGCAACACTTCAGACATCGCAGATTTTGGCCCTGTGTTACTGCTCCCTCCTTCTCCACATCCCCCACCCTGTTACGGTGGGGTTTCCAGTGCTGCATCTCTCCTCATTTCATCCATCAGCATTACAGAGACGGGAGGGCTCCATGCTACCAGCCAATAACGTTTCCTTTTGCCATTTGCAGGGAGCAGCTGCGGACGATGGCAGACTGAAGCGCGGCGATCAGATTTTAGCAGTTAATGGGGAAGCTTTGGAAGGTGTTACCCATGAGCAAGCTGTAGCTATTCTGAAGCGCCAGAAAGGAACTGTGACATTATCGGTGTTATCATGAATGTCATTGCACTTGCAGAGATAAATACAATTATTTTAAAACATCAGTAGAGCTATAATAATACCGTTCAGCTCTGAGCCGGGTGTAAAGCAAACTCTGGCAAAAATTAATCAGCGTTCAGCCCGTTGCCAGAATGGGCAGTGTGCATCTCGAGCTTCATTTAACCTTCCACACTGATCAGCCTTTCTCCCTGCCCTCCCCTACTTCTGGTGGCTTTTGAGTTTTCTCCGGACAACTTTGATTAACGGGCTTCAAAGAATAAGATCCATTTTACTTTATTTACACGTCAGTTTACTGCCACTAGTCTGAACCCCAGCTACGTTGGCTGAACCTGGGCTCTGTTCAAATACAAAGGAGAATTTAGATCATCAGCCAATCTCATCTATGATGAGCAGAAATAAATGCTGAGTGACTTGTCATCTCACTCATGATTTACTTATGCTAATTGTCCTTTCAAGTATGCCAGAAAACATTAGCAATGTAATTAAATTACCACTGTTCCAAATGATGAAATATCAAATTCTCCTCTGGGAAATTATTTGTGTTCAGCACAGTAAGTCTGATAGTCAAATGTGAACTTCTCATGTTTATCTCTTTGGGTAGGTCTATGGAAGTTAGTCAGAGGTAATTACTGTGATGTGTCAATTTGCAGCCTTTAGCGTGAAAAATAAACCAGGGGAGAGATAAATTTATTTTTTTAGGCTTTTAAATGTTTGAGCCTTTTCAGATATTTAGGCAGCATGAACAACAACATATCTCGTTGTATTCTGATTATGTTTTTAAAGAAGAAATGTGCTGATACGTGCCGGGCATGTTGCATACAAAGGCAGTCATTGTTGTGCCAAGCTGCAGCATAACCGTTTATCCTGAAACTTTAATGAAGACAGAAGTTTGCTTCGACCGTGTGATCCTGTAATTCTTGCAGTGATGGCTGTCCCTCTGCACGTTGTCTTGGAGGCTGGATGAAGTTAATCCAAACCAGCACACCATTCCTCATTTCCAGGAGTCTCCCCAGGTTCAGGTAGTGCTGGAAGAGGCTTTCATGGATAAGCAAGATGGCTGTGGGCAGCTCTGGGGCTCAGTTTTGGGGGATGCCAGACACTGCCAGGCGGTGTGGAGCTGATGCTGCAGGAAGTGGCTGTAGGAGGTCACAGTGATGCCCTCCCTGGGGCTGGCTGCTGCCTCCTGCTTCCCCAGGGCATAACAACTGCAGGGGCTCTCAACCCCATCCCCCAGCAGCCACAGGGTGCAGTCACAGCCCTTGAGCTCTCTGGCATGAGCTCAGCCCTCCTGTGCAGTGGAGGTGGGATGCAGCCACGTTCAGCCAAGCAGTAGTGACTCGGTTACGCAGCCGTTCCTGCAGTGATGGTACAACCGTGGCCTTGGCGATTAAGCAAATGAATTTGGCAGGCAGATTAATGGCATTGCAAGTCATTGTGGTTTAATCTGCCTATCTAGAGGAACAGTAGGGCTTTGGAGGAAGCAGCCCAGTCTTAGTTAGGCTGTTTGGTGTAATTTATAATGATGATGTAGCGGGGGAAAAATGAAAAGGGTGTGGGTGTGTGTGTGAGAGAGAGAGAGAGAGACAGAGAATTGTCTGCTGATCTGATGTGAAAAATCCTTAGAAATAAATGGAAAGAGAATTGAACACATGTAATACAATGGCCAAGTAGCACAAGGAAAAGCACTGTTAGTGTGTATGTTTTAGCTGGGGTGGGTATTCTCCCATGTTAGGTAGAAGAACACAGCCTGAAAGGAGCAAGCTGGGATTGCTTGCATTGAATTGCAATGAGCTTGCATTGAAAAGGTTTTCTTTAGTTCGTGTAGAAGTTTTCTTTGACTTTAGGCAATCACAAAGTGCATTTAGCCTGCTGGAACACGGAGTGAGTGTTCTGTTCATAGTGCCTGGAAGAGACATTTCAAATGGATTCTCACTGATTTGCCAAGCAAAGGCTTAGTGGGACCTCGGCTGTAGTCACAAAACTATATCCAGATGTGTTGAATTGGAGAATGTGTGTAACTGCCTTTGGCTGCAGAGGTATCCGAGGCACACGGAAGTTCAGTGCAGGTAGGTGAACTGTGGAGAGGTACCTTCAGAAATATTGCATAGAATTTATGAACAAAATGTAATGGTTCCTCTGATTGATTTGGTTTTTTTAGACGTTGCATTCCTACTTTAAGATGTTGCTGCATTTAATCAATGAAGTTTTACATGGCTATTTATTAGCCTGTTATGCACATACCGTTCATATACATAAAGAATAGAATTTATGGGCTGAGATATTTTGCACTTCTCATTACTCTGAATGAGATAACATTTTCTGCTTCTTGTAATTTGCACTTTGTGTCTTGAAAATATTACTGCCAAAAATCATATTGCAACTAATTGATAAACCAGTGACCATGCGGAGAAGCGTGTGCTCTATGTACAGGACCAAGTTAGATAATTAAATCTGCATTACGCTTGTCTGGGTCGAGGTGTTCTGGTTTATTTAAAACTTTATTTCTGTGCAAGGGAAAAGCAATTAAACCTCCTGATTGTATGTGTACATATATCAGTAAAATGAGGCATTTTATGACTTCAAAGGTTCTAAATAAATCTCGGTTACTTAAGTAGCTGTGCATTTTATTTTGTTGTGGGTTTTTTGTTTTTTGTTTTTTTTTCCATTGGTACAACTTATTGCACAAGATATCTTTGTTTTCAGTTCCAAGCAGGGCTCATTATTGCCTTTGTGAGGGAGCAGGAGCTACGGTACCAACCAAGGCCAAGCTCATGCCCAGGGCACAGAATCACTGCGGTCACAGGGAGTGCTCACATCACAGCTGTGCTACAGCTGCTCACCAGGATGGCTCCTGCATGGGAAGGGCTCTGAGTTGGGAACGGCCACAGAGAGGTTGCTCACAAGAGGCATGCAGGCAGCAAAGCCAGGGAGATAATAAGAGGATTAAGACGAAAGTGCAAAGCAACTGGTGTTGTGACCAGAGGAATCCAACTCAGCACAAAGCGTGCTTGCTGGAGGCATCTCACAGCCTTTTGGAGGTGCCATGGCACCACGGTTTGAACTCATCATGCTGCTGGAAGGGCTCTCCTGCCCTGGTTGGTGGACTTAGCTGTCAGAAGGGACACAGTTCCTCCTTCATCAAGAACAACCTCGGCATCACCAGAAGCCATCTTAGGGCTGGTTGTATCTCTAGCCTAATTCTGCAAAGGGGAAGTTGTGCCTCTGTTTACACCAAGATTTTGTCATCCTCGCCATGTGAGTTCGCTGCGTGCCACAAAGTGCAGCCATCCCAGCATCACCCTCATGGCTGCGAGGGTCAACCTGCTGTAATGGGACTGTGGCAAATGGCACTGCTGCGTGTGGAATAGCTGTAATGCCTCTAAATTCCCTGTAATTAATCAAATGGCAATTACTGCCCTGGAAGTCTGACTTACATAGAGCCTGTTGAGGTAATATGATTATGCTGAGATGGAGCAGTTAATGTACCTTCGCCTGAAAGAACTGGAATGAATTAATTTAACATTACACATGTATAAAACATTAGTTTTTACAGTTGTGCTGAGCACTGATATATAATTCCATTATCATCTTTCTCCATGGTCTTACACTTCCATATCCATAATTTAGCTGTATTTACATTCTGGTTAAGCATCGTCACGGCCATTGTTTTTCATCTCAGCAGCAATGGGCGCTTTGTTCTCTAATGGACATATTCCTGTGACACCTGGACCTCAAGATGGCAACAAGTCAGAGATCCTTGTGTTCTGCAGCATCCCAGGCTGGAAAGGGAGGAGCATCGCGTCCCTGATGCCTTCATCCTTCTCCCAACAAAACCCCAGAGGCTCTGCTCCACTGGCACATGCAGTAAAGCAGAGGGGCTGAAGCACAACAAGGAAAACAGCATGAACTCCCTGCATCCCTGGTGCGTCTGGAGGTGGTGTGCCTCTGGAGCTGTTCTGGTAAAATTAAAAGTTACATCCTCATCAGAGTAATGGGACCAGTGGAAGCCACATTGACACAGGGTTATTCTGCCTGGCCAGGATGCCCTGGGCTGAATGCACGCATGCTGAGCACGGCTTCTACTTTCCATCACGCCCGAAGAAACAACGCAAGGCTGCAGTACTGCATTGCCTCACCAGCAAGCTGCCACCAGGAGGAGGTAAAAAACAAAAGCAAAGAGACCTTGAAGGCCTGGTGATAGGATTCTTCTGAAAAACGTGCTTTGGTTGTGCTTTGAATGCAACAACTGGCCTCTTCCCCTTCACTGATCCTTCACCCTGCACACGGCTGGTGTTGGTGGTGTGTCTGGAACTGGCTGTGCAGGACGTGCCCTGAGCCGTGGGTCCCAGCAGCACAGCAGCAGCCTCTCCTCTGCAGCTCAGCGGTGCGGGTGCAAGTTTGGAAATGGAATTTCATCTTTGCAGCCTTTGCATCATTTGTTGTACTTATCTGTCTCAAAGGGTGACTGCAGGTTCTTAAACAGAAACATCTGCCCTCAAACCAGTATTCCCTAAGAGCATTTTCAAGTTTTAAGAAAGCCTGTGTTTTTGTGCTGTTCCCGATCCCATCCCACCTCCCTGCATTCCTGGCTGCTGCTCCATGCCAGGAGGTGGCAGGGAGGTGACATGTCCACCCTGAACCCACAGGGAAAGCCTCCTGGGTCCGTGCTTCGTGGGGCTGTGAGCCTGGCTGTCCCATGGCACTTTCTGCTGAAATGTCACTAGATGGAGCAATTGACAAAATATTCCATTTCTGCTACCTTCAGCCCACGTGGCCCAGGGCTCCCGGCCTCAGCGCCTTCCCCTGCAGCAAAGAATAATCTGTGCCGAGAGGCTCATTCCCCCAAATGTATTAAGTACTGAATTCCACCGCCAGCATCCCACCTGCTGCTGGGCAGTTCTTGTGTGCTCAGCACGGAGCTGCAGTGTTTCTGGGGGTGAAGCACTTCGGGATGCCTGTGCCTGGAACTCCTGGAAGGGATTTTTGCCTTTCCCAGCACCCAGCTGCTGCCTGCGGAGGCCAGTGGAGCTGAGCCAAGGCACGCCTGCCAGCTGCCCTGTAATTGAATTAACAGCACCGAGGTCGGAGTGAGGTGCTCTGCTCTCACTGTGCCCCTTTTTGGGGCCACCCCTCACCCTGTGCCACTGTGCTGGGAGGCAGGAGGAGAGCTGGAGGCCACAGCACCGGGAATGAGCTCAGCTCTAACAGCAGCCAACTGCAACATCAACGGCAGCCTGGACAATGTTAGCAAAGTGCCGCGGTGATTTCACCCCTTTCCTAAGATTTATGGTCTTGAGCCAATAGCCAGGAATTGTCTGCACCCTTACGGTGCAGATGAAGCCTGTGGCTGGGGAGCTTCCATTCCTCACATGTCTTGGGACCAGTATCACAGCAGTGCGGGGCTCTTCGCCTCCCCAAATTTCTGGATGCCATCTCACAACCCACACAGCAGCTGTGGTGCATTGGTCCCTGAGCCCTGCAGGGGCTTTTTTGTCCCACTGGCACCATCCCCTGGGTGCCACCATCCCACTGTGCATGGGGACCAGGGACTGATGACCCCGGTGTCCCCAGGACACCTCCTGGGCTCACATGCACTGGGACGAGGGCAGTGCTGGAGGGCTTTCTGTAAGAGTTATCCGTACGTGAGAAAAAAAGAGCAAATGGCTGACAGCCATCCACTTTTCCAGTCCTACTGCAATCCTGAGGGCTGTGGAGCAGCATGGCTCCAAAGGCTATGGAGATGCTCCAGATGAGGCTGTTGGGGTCCTTGCTCCTCGAAGAAAGAGACATGCTCTAAGTGCCCCTAAGGAGAGTGGAAAACTCCTAAGCAGTTGAGCTCTCACCATTCTTTCCCTTTGTAGCTAATCAGCACCTCAATGGTGAGCCTGCAATGATTGTAAGATTAATTTCTTTCCTTGCTGTGAGTTAATTGTCTCCATTTGTACTGCTCAGAGTTCGTGCTGGGGATGTATTTTTGCTTGGCTATATTTAGTTTGATTTCCACCATGATATCAAAATAGAGAAATTTGGGCTGGCTCTGGTGCTCGGTGGCATTGAAACCCCACAGGTGATTTGCCACATGGGAGCTGCTCCAAGGGGCCCAGCACTGTTTGTTAGAGTTTTGCCATATTTTCCATAGTACTTGGGCTGCGGCTGCTGCTCCGGGAGTACATCCCAGGCTGAGCAATCCCTGGGGAGATGGTTTGAGAGGAAAGAAGGAACTCTGAGGCCAAGAATGAAAACAAACATCTGGAGGCTGTGGGGACAGAAGCTAAAAAGTGACTTAATGGTGTGTGTGTGTATGGGTGCAGTGTGCGAGGGGCTCTCCTCCAGGCTCTTCTGCTTTTGGAGGTCTGTCTGTCCATCCCTTTGGCCTGCCAAAGATAGCAAGAACAACAGCAAATGCAGGTCAAAGTTTAACTTGGGTTTATTCATATGTGGGGGAGGTAACTGTGTTGGGGGGTGGGGTTAAAAAAGGCAGGTGGGTGTTTTGCGGAGTGAGTGCTTCCACCTGAAGACATGGTGGAAGCAAAGCAAACAAAGCAGACACCAACACAACAGATTTGCTCTTAGCTGGGCAAGGATATTGTGCTAAATCCCTGCCCATGCTCACAGAGTGGTTTGGGCTCCATGCAAACCAGTGGACTTCGTTTTCCCATCAGCTCAAACTTAATTAGAAAAAACAAGAGCCATATGGTAATTCTGAATCCAGGCAAAACAATGTCTGCTGTACTCAAATAATTTCCTACAGCATTAATTTTTAATTCTTACATCAGGCCCACATGAGCAAACATAAATAGGATGTTATACTTTCTGTAATCCATCGGACTTTTGTTTGTTGTTTCCTGTATGAACAATTGCTGCCTCCTACTACATCAGGGAGAGCTAATAATAAATATTAGGACACAAATTACAAGTTAAATGCAATACAGATAAGTGCTTGATTAAAAGGGCAGCCCCTGGTAAAGGCTGGAACAGCTCCTTCCGTTTGGCTGCTGTCCCACTGGGGCTGTGCAGCGAGTGTTAACAGAGGGCAGTGCAGAAACTTAACTCTGCAAAACAGAATTTGAGCTGTTTGTGGCAATGCGGGTACAGAAGTGGGTTAATGAGGGGAGTGACCCCAGCTGTGGTTGCCCTTCTCCCTCTCTGCCTCCTCCACACTGGGTTCAGTCGCCGGGGCCGTGCTGGGCGCTGTGCAGCAGTGCAGCGATGTCCTCATGGGCGCTCCTCTGCGCGATGGCCAGCGCCGTGTCTCCATCCTGCAGGAGGGACAGGTGGCATTTATGTGACCAGCACGTGGCCTAGCCGTGTTCACCAGGCCCAAAGCAGGCAGTCTGGCCTCAGTCAGCTCAGCCGAGCCATGCCACGTGCAGTGCAGCCTTCAGGCTGTGCGGGGCCCGAGCGCACCTCACCTTGTCCGTCAGCGCCAGCTGGCAGCCAGGCTGGGCCAGCAGCAGCCTGACCATGTTGGTGCTGCCCTGCCGGCAGGCCACCATCAGCGCCGTGCTGCCCTGCTCGTCCTGCAGGTTGATGTCGGCCTGGCAGGCCAGCAGGGCCCGCACCATGGCTTCCCGTTCGTGGCTCACCCCCAGCATCAGGGCCGTCTGCCCTCCCTGCAGAACACACAGCTCAGATGAGTCCTTTAT